ATTCTCACTTTTCTATGTTACTGGTTATCTATATTAAGGTACAAAGAAAAAAGTGACAATTAATCAATAGTATGGGGTTTCGTTAAAATGATGAGTTGTAATAAAAACAACAAAAAAAATCTTACTCAAATCTTAGAACTAAAAGTATCGAAAAACTTAAGAAATTGACTTGTTTGAATATAATTCTTTTTTTTAAAAAAAAAGCAGAAGTGCAAAATAGTCAAAGCAGAAATGCAAAGAAGTCAGTATAAAGTAATTTAGTTTCAATTCTTCAAACTTCGTTTTTCTATTTGTCTTCTAGAAGATAAATTTGCCAGCCATGTGCAGAAACATGGATTTTAAAATGTAACAAATTTGTGTAAAAACTATTTCTTATAATAAACAATGCTATAATAGTATGACCTCGAAAATCCGGAAATCTCTAAAATCCGGACTCATACGTCCAGTTCGTCAGAAAAAATTTTCAAAAGAAAAAGTTTAAAAAAATAGCTTAAAATAAAAATTTTAATGCAAGAGTGCAAAACCACAACTCTTCTCCAACAATGAAGCAGTAGATGAAGAGGTAGGGGTGGGGCGTGAATGAAAGCTCATAGCTGATAAGGAAATTCCAGTCATTCTTATCAGCTCTGTATAGATAACACAGAATATAAAGGGGAATCCCCTCCTCCTGAAGGGGAATCCCACAACTCTTCTCCAACAATGAAGATGTAGGGGTGGGGAGTGAATGAAAGCTCATAGCTGATAAGGAATTTCCAGTCATTCTTATCAGCTCTGTATATATAACAAAGAATATAAAAGGGAATCCCCTCCTCCTGAAGGGAAATCCCACAACTCTTCTCCAACAATGAAGCAGTAGATGAAGAGGTAGGGGTGGGGAGTGAATGAAAGCTCATAGCTGATAAGGAAATTCCAGTCAATCCTATCAGCTCTGTATAGTTAACAAAGAATATAAAGGGGAATCCCCTCCTCCTGAAGGGGAATCCCCTCAGGAGAAGGAATTCTTCTACCACTTTGTTTTTCCTCCTTGTTTTTCCTCCTTGTGAAGAAAGAAAACTGACTGGTTCTTTCTTAACCTGGAAGCTTAGGAGGCGAGGACAAGTTCTTTCATCCCCCAACAAAAAAAGGATTAGTATCAGCTGGTACAGTCTAGTCTAGAAGCATCTGTTTCAGCGATAAGTTGAAATTCAGCTCGCGTTTTAAGCCTATATTTTTAGTTTTAATTGCTAATATTATGTTATCTAAACGATCGATTACGGGGGGAAAATGACGAAAGTTTGATTTTTAATGTCTTTTATTTATTATTTGAAGAGTATATTTATGTTAAAATTGACGTCGAAGGTCTACACACGCGCGTTTAATCGCGAAATCGGCCTGGCAACTTCGAAAGTTCGATAATTCTATCAATTTAAGTAAGGTATCTAAAATCCGGAAATTTCGGAAATCCGGACCTTCCAAACCCCCCAACAGTCCGGATTTTCGAGGTTGCGCTGTAGTTAAGAATACAATTTTATATTACTCTTTGTCATATCTATACAAATTCAAAAGACTTAGAAAAAAATACTCTGCTGAATATTTGGTTGATCACTTGACCAACTGAATTTTTGACTAAAAGGCCAAATACTCGTTACATCTCTAATTTAAATGCAATGCTGTTACAAGTTGAGGAAATCACCAAGTGGTGGAAAACGCGAATTTTTAAACTGCTCGCTATTTGTAATTTTGAATTAAATTTTTTATTGCTTGAATGATCTTTCCCCCCCCCCCAAAGGAAAACGTTTACTATGTAAAAAAAATTTTATAATCATTAAAAAGAAATAATAAAGTACATTTTTAATTTATATTACTTAATATATACAAAATTTTTTTCTACTTTCATTCTGTGAGCATTGCAGTCTTTTTAATAATAATTTATTTTTAAAAATGAATAATTTTTGCATTGCGTGATATGATTAAAAAAAAACATTTCTTTTCTTGTTTTAATGTTTATTTACCTATTTTAATAAATCTGTTTTCGATAAGATAAAAATGGAAATTATTTTTGAAAAAGTATTAGTTTTTTCATTTTTTGACTTCTTTTTTGGCACTTTCGTTAGTCAACCTGCTATACAAGTGGCCCTTCACTCAAAAAGGTTGTGCACCCCTTATCTTAAATAATAAAAGGTTAGATGTTTTTTTTTTGTTAATCTTTTCTGCAAATTTATTCTTGCATATGCAGATGTCGAGACTATATTAAGTTAAATTATTTAAGCATTGATTCTTAGCAAGTTAAAAAAAAAAAATTAAGTTTGGTGACCACAAAATAATGTGAGTTTTTCAGCACTCTAATTGTTAAAATATGATTGGAACTAATAAATTTTTTTTTATAGAATAAGGTCGTTCTGAAAAAAAAATGTTATTAAATAATTGGAATGAAATTTTAGTTTTTCAGTTTTATATAATTGAGAAAAAATGTGTCCTTAAGCAAACTATAAATTATATTTTTTCAGATAGTAATAATTTATAAAACTGAGCAACTAAGTTAATTTTTCTTCTTACTCTATTTTTTTAAAGAATATTCTGTCCTTAAATTGTCTTGATTTTTTTCTAGTATTTTTTTTGTATTAATTACTCCTGATTCTCTATTTGAACCACTACGAGGCCTGTTTTTGCCATGGACGTTTTTTAATGTTGATCATATATTGACTTTTAAATTAACTTTTGGCTTAAATAAAACATTCGTGTATTTATATATTGTCAGTGGTCTGGTCTTCTGACTTGATAATAACATTTTTATATTAATTTCTAATGTATACATCATTGATATTCTATTTTATTGTTCTGATTTTTTAAAAGTGTACATGAAAAATTATTTTTTATACTTTTAATTCATTTGAACTAATGATTAGTTTGAAAATCTGAATTTGAAAATATCTTAAAAATGTACATTTAAAGTAAAATAAGTAAAATAGTTTTTTTTCCCTAATCTAATTTTACAAAAATAAATGACGAAAAATTGCTATGATAAATTCCTTATTTTACCATTTCTGAGTCCTTTTACCATTTCTGTCCAAAAATCAGATCCCTACTTAAAATGATATGAATCTCTCATTTAATTCTTCAGTGCCAACACTCTGACTTGATATTTTCCAGTGCCAGTGCTCTGACTAAATATTCTTCAGCAATACTAGTCTGAGCTTAAATCACCATAATTCTTTTAAATTGATCATCACACATTTTGTTTGTCATCCCAGAGTTTGTTTCTTTTCTCTCATTTATTAATTTTTTCTTTTCAAAGTTCAATTTAATTTTGTCTACTTGAATGTATTGGTGCTTTATTTTCCTTACCCCTCCTGCAATGGACAATTACATGCCCCACTTCACACATAATTTTTTTTGTATCCTCTCAACGATTTTTGGCCTATTTCATGCAGTATACTTATTTCGCAGAATTGAAGCTTATATTTTGTTTCCTTGCATTAAAAATGTTGTTTACTTTGAAAACAAGTTTGAAAGTTTTAGATTGATCAGTATCTTTTGTTTCGAAGTTTTTGGAAAAACAGGTATCTGCTCCTACTTTTGACAAGGACTGGATGTGTATGTAATATAAAAATCTCTAACAAGTCTTTTTTTTTATTAGTTCTTTGTCTGAAATCTTTTCCTTCATACATTATTCTAAACAAAAAGCTTTCTCATAGAGATTTATTTCCTGTTAAAAGTAGGTAATGTTTACATTTCTTAGAAATAATTATCATAAAAAGTTTTACCCTTAAGTAAGAAGGGATTAACCTAAGTGATGAGAACTATTAAAAATTTTTCCGGATGACAGCTATCATAAAAAGCACAACACTCATTTTTGTGGATTCCAAGTTTTGCTGATCTTCTCCAAAAGTATAATAATAAAACAAAGTATGCTGAAAACTCCCTGTTGTCTGCATTTTTTGTCTGGGCCACGAAGTGTTATTTTAAACACACACACACATATATATGTTTCTAATGAATATTCTTATATATATACAGTTATTGTAATTCTGTAAAAACTGCTATGATCTTTCAAAGTTTTGATACCTGACAAATAAAAAATTGAAACAAATAACCAATCTTTTATTTTTAACAATTTAACTGGTCTTAAATTGAAAATCAATGTGGCTATTATATCAAGCTGATTAGTTTTTATTCCAACCTGTCTCTTAATTTAGTTTAATAAAGTATTTTCAACTAAAAATTGATAGCAAACATGTTACTTTGGTTTCAGTTGGAAACAACATGTTTGTGTTCCTAAGTTTATTTAAAACCCACTGGAGGAGGGGCCTCATGATTGCTGTCCTCACTAACCTTGTCTATTACACCAAGCTTTACCTCCACAGCTATTAAAGTTGTATCTACTGTGTAGGGTGATAGCCACTCTAATCCTACACCTTTTTATTCTCCACCCAATTTTTTAAATTCAATTTCAACAACTGAGTAGGGTTATATGAGCTGTGTCCCAAGACTACCCCTTCAAACCTACACTGTTACAATCTTCATTTACTTTGCATCTCTAATTCACATATAAATGAGTAACAGCATTCGTCAATGCAGCCCAAACTGCTGCTTGAAGGAAAATGGTTGATGCCGCTGGCTCCTTGACATAGGAAAAAAACTACCTGCTACATTTTCTCAATTGCACCCAGTTCAATCTTAGTCACTGAGTAAAGTTGCATCGGCTGCTTGGTAAGATAGTCCCTCCAAGCTTACGTCTAGGTACTCCAAGCTTACACTCCAAGATAGTTATTTTTTCATTTTTTAATGTTCTATGTGCATAATATCATAATAATTACATTTGGATAGTTTTGAGTTTTACCTATTTTCAGAATTTATATGTTTTGATACTTAACCTTTTGTTGTACTGTGAATTTCATGTGTCCTATCCAAGGTCAGCTTAGAGCATTGGATTATTTTTTATAAATGGTTGTTTATCTGTGTTTCATGTGTTGTTCAATGGTTGTTTATCTGTGTTCATGTTTTAAAATTTTTTTCCCTAGACCTTTCATATGTTAAACTGTGGGATTTGGAAAATGAGTTGCCTGAAGAATTAATGGTGCCTACTGGGCTTGAAACGTCTGATCTTCCAACACAAGCTCCTACATCTCAATCGTCAGCTCCGCAAAATCTTTTGAATGGCTCTGGAGAAAGTGTCTCTGTTGAAAGTTCTGTTGTTGCAAGTGTTAATTCACAAAGGCATCAACAGCTGTCTCAACTGTTACAGTCTAAGCCAAATGTTTCTCATAGCACCGTATCTACACCTCCATCCCATAGTGGTATATCTACATCACAGCAAATCACAAGTCCGAATTTAGCAACTATGACAGCTGTTAAAAGTCCTCATTCTACTAATTTAAATACTCCTAATGCTACTATAAATAAAACAGGTTCGCTTGTATCATCTTCATATATTAATGCTACAGATGGCACAGCTGTTATTACGAATATTTCCAATAGTTTGACCAATAGTTTAAGTAATTCAACTGGAACTTTAGGCATGAATAACAATTTGTTATTAATGCAAAGTAAAGGAAGCTCCTTAAGTACACAAGGTAACCTTATGTCACTTCCTACATCTGTTGCTAGTAATAATAGTGGCAATAATGCACAAATTCATTCTCCAATAACTGTTGTACAACAACCAGTAAACCAACAAACATCTTCACTCATTAATGGTAGTCACATTCCCATTGCAAACATGAATTTAAATCTATCCGTCAGTCTGTCTGTGTCATCTGCTGCGACTCATAGTACTGTGATTGCACCTCATCTGCCTCATCAAACCATTTTAGGACATCCTAACCAAGGTGCTAATATAAAGGTATCTATAATTTTTTGCTAATTGAAATTTAATCGTTCAGCTGATAAAATTAATTCATATCAGGTTTCCATAGACTTTTTTTTATGAAAAAATGTGTAATGTACTTCAACTAATTAGTCAATTTATTTTGCAATTCTTTTTATTTTGCAGTTAGGCTAATTCTGAAACAAGATTTGAACAATACTTTTTTAATGGTAGCAATGAAAATTTAGATGTAGTATATGTACTAAAAATAAATAAATAAGCGCCTTTGAACTTTTGCATGTCCGATGTTCAGTGATATGAATGTTGATGAGCATTCAATAACTTTCCTTCATTCAGATGTTTTCATTTGGATTCTTTTGCACTCCCCCTTCCTATTTCATTCCTTAACTCTGACTCATTAATTTGCTCAAGAAAATTTTATACACCAGTAGCTTTTTTTCTTTTGTTCATGTGTGGCAGATTTTATCCGAAAGTGACTGAATTTATAATCCAATGTTTTTATTAGTGGTAGTCTTTGTATTTGATAATTTATATATATAACCGAACTACGTAGTTTTTACATCAATAGCGTTAAAAATTGAATTAGAAAGTGTTGAAAAATAAGTACGTATAATTTTTTTTATCTATTTTAATAAATTAACCAATAAATCTAAAATTTCATGCAGAGCTCAAGAAAGGTATGAAACGTTCTTTGCTGACTATCGAAAATCTTACAGTATTGTATTTACAGTATTGTAATTTTACAGTATTGTATTGAAATCATACACTTTTTAATTAATGGATTGTAATTTATTTATTGACCGCTTAATTTTACAGTACACTAAATTTACAGTGAAATAAATTTCCAGCAAAATGGAGGGGAATATGTTTTGCATATTTTCTAACTTCAAAGCAAAAATTCTATTTTTTATACTAACAGCATAGTTATTTATGCAAAAATTAAATAGAAATTTATGTACTTTTATTGTTTCAGCATTCTGTTTCTCAAATACCTATATCAAATCTTCCTATGACTCCAAGTACTGTTCAGCAAAATTCGACAAGTACTGTAACTGTTACTCCATCAACTGTAGGGGGCCCAACCCCTACAGCTGACCCAGAGAAAAGAAAACTTATACAGCAACAACTTGTGCTTCTTCTTCATGCTCACAAATGCCAGAGGCGTGAAAGTCAGTCCAATGGAGACGTACGACAGTGCTCATTACCTCATTGTCGGACTATGAAACATGTATTAAGTCACATGACAACTTGTCAAGCAGGTAAATCATGTGGGGTTCCTCACTGCTCATCATCTAGGCAAATAATATCTCACTGGAAAAATTGTACACGAAGTGATTGCCCTGTGTGTTTGCCTTTAAAACAAGCATCAGATCGCAGACAACAACAAGCAGGTGAGCATCATTTATTTTTAATTTTTATAATTGTATCTGTTGGAAGAAATCACATTTTAATTGCTAAAAAATTATATATTTGGTGCGGCTAATATAATAAAATGAATCGATTCATAAGTTAGTCGCCAGAGATTTTTCAAGTTTTAATTGGCCAATTGACATTAAATAGTACCTGCTTGTATATGGTGGGATGAAAATGTTTCAGAGTTGAACTTGAAAATTAATTTTTTAGTTGCAAGCCATATAAGGAGTAAAGATTATAAGAGATAATAAACCTAATAAAGCAAACAATTTTCATAATTTTTAGATGTTAAGTGAAATCTGTATAAGGGTAACTACCCTTATGCCTACTAGTATTTATATGTAAAAATTTGATATATCAGCTTTCTTTATGTGTGTTGCTTAGATTTACTAGAAATTTTTCACAATAGTAACCCTTACAAACTGTATAAAAATGGTGAAAAAGTAATGTTTTTTTAAAAAATCAATACAAAGGCTTATTTAAAAATAAATTAACTGTGATGTTCATGGAACAAAAGTAAAATAAATAACTAAATAAATATTTATTGAGCAATGCAAATGCAAATTAAAATTTTTTATTAAAGACATTTTATGGTTTTCTAATCTGTAGGGTTGGAGCAGCTTTGCAAATTGTGCCAAACTGCTCCAAAACGAAATACCTACTCCAAGATGCAGTTTTTCCAGAAATTGCACCAAGCTGCTCCAAAACTACTCGTATTCATTAATTGAAAAGTGCAACTTTGTCACCAAATTTGCACTTAAAAATCTGTTCTTGCATCATATTAAAAATATTGGAAATGGAAAAAACTACCTAGAAAGAGTTAAATAAAAACTATAAATAAACGCGATGGTTTTATGATAGAATCAATGCAAATGGAGCGGATCAAAAAGTAATACCTAAAATTCAAAATACAGTCGGACCTGTTTATCTCGAATCTCACGGGAAAGGCGAAAAATTCAAGATAAAGAGGTTTCGAGTTATAGAGGTACTTAAAAAATGAAATTTAATTGAGAAATTCTATTAAAAGTGCTTTAATTGTTTTTATTAGAAAATGAAGGCATTTATTTTAATTAATTATACCATATACATCTATTCAGATAACATTTTTTTAACTTTCCTTTAACACTGAAAATAATCTTTCAAAGATTTTTGACGTCTAACCTTCTTTGCTTGAATAATTCTTCTAATGTTAGAAAGAGCAGCAAATCCCTCATAGCCAACATTTTCCTGGGATTCAAAAAAATTCTGTAAGATTTCTTCAACTTTTTCTGCCTCTTTTGCACTCACTTTTAATTCATCAATATGATCTTCAGCTTCTTCTTCATCTTATACTTTTACATTATCAATGATTTCCGCATCTGTAAATGTTCCGCAGGTAGCCAGACAGTTGTCCACTTGTAAAAAATCCTCAAAACTAATATCAACATTAATTCCCGATTTTATCGTATTCCATTCTTGCGAATGTGGCACTGCATTTTCATTGTCACCTGTTTCTTTTTCTTCATTGATGCCTTCGACCTCTTCTTCATCCTCTTCACAGTTATTCCTAAAACCAGTCTTTTTAAAACAATTTCGAATAGTTTCCAGTGACACATTTCTCCAGGCATAATCAGTCAGTCTGATAGCATCCAACACATTTATCTTTGGAAGAGAACTTTTTTCATCGATGGTATCTGCAAGTTTGCTTATCAACTGCTTTCTGTAGTTCACTTTAAAACTCCTAATTATCCTTTGATCCAATGGTTGCAATTTTGAGGTGGTGTTTGCAGCTCAAAATTGCAACACCACCTCAAAATTGCATTTATACCTTAAATAAAATTTTCCCCTCACCCAGTCACATTTTTTTGTCTATTTTGGCACAAACCACTAGGGTCACTATCCACCACCGATTGTTCATGATAAATTCATAAATAATAAAATAAAACTTAAACCTCTGCATAATGCTAAAATCAATTTTTACATCACACATCTAAAAAAGAGTCATCATTTTGTACTGGTCACTTGATATGGGCTATAATTTAAAATAAAAATTAACTTCTTATTTATGGTTAAAAAAATGACTTATGCATTTTTTGGTGCACTATGCATTTTTTGAACTATGTTTATGACTGAATAGTTGGTAGTTCTGAGTAAATAATAACTATGGTTATTTTTTTTTTCTTGTTTTGTGAAATGTTTTTAAGTTTGATTTGAATATTCAGAGATAATTTTCAGAATTGCACAAGATTTAAATATTGTTTAATTTAGGTTTAGGAGTTAAAATAGAGGGAAGGCAACTGGCTACTATTTTTACAAAGGAAAAAAAAACAGCTAACAAGTGTTTATTTTCATAAAACTGATGACTAATTTTATTAAAAAGAGACAATGTAAAAAATATATTGTGGATAAACTAGCAAGTTGTGCCAAATCTAATTATCAAATTCGTATAAAATTATCGGAATTTGAAAAACCATATAAAAATAGTCTAAAAAGCATTGATTTATGATAGAATAGTCTAGAATCATATGTGTCAAAAGGTGGTTACTTTAATTTGAAATTTAAATGTCATAATATTTTATAATTAAGGAAAATTGAATAAAACCGCAGGAGTTGTGAATCAAGTTTGTCAGGGCTACTAAATGAACTGTTTTTTAATGCTAACTTTAGTGGTTGTTCTGCTGTTTATGTAATTCATATTGCTATCTAAACAATTAAAGTATTGTTTCCTCTTTGTTTTCTATTCAGAGTCAAAAGCTAGTGAATTGAACAATAAGTTTAGATTTAGGAGCTATAAAGGATTTCATGAAGAAAGAGTATAACCATAAAACTTTGATTAAATGCCTTTTTCCAAATTTTGGCCGAAAATGTGCATTTTTTGTTGGGGGTGGCAGTTAAAACGGTACCAATTTGTGAAATACAGATAGCAATCATTAAAATTACAAAATCAACCTCGAAAAAATTAATCATTATTTTAAAAATAGATTTCTGGAACTCATTTTATTTTAAATAACTTTTAATATCCCTATTTGTTATCTATTTGTTTTTCTGAATAAAATGATATGTTCACAATTCAGGCAATCAATGAACAAAATACAAATAAAATTAGAAAAATGAAATATATAAAAAAAAAATTGAACATATTTACTATGAAATTATGAAGAAATTAAACCGAAATCTTCAGAACCATAAAAAAATTGGAATCATTATGGAAAACAATGTCTAAACTAAACATTTCTTATTAAAATGGTCAGTTTTCTGGTTTGGGACATTTATGTCTTTAAATATATATATTTTTTAAAAAGATTAAAAATAAAAATAAAATTTTCTAAAAACACAAGAGTTATCCGTTCAAAGTTTTTTACTTTTTTTTTTTAATGTGAAAGGTATTGAATGTTTATCACTACTTAAGCACACATTTCTTTGCTGGTGATAGTGTTAATAATTATGTTATAGTTATGTGACCTAAAAAATACTTCCCTGACTTATTTATATTTTTCTGATTTTAAAATAGTCTAAGTATGTGAACTTATAATATTCCAAGAAAAATAAACCAAAATGCCAAAATTTCAAACTTTAGCAAACATAATATATTTTATATAATTTTAAAGCTTCAAATGTGTATTTTATTGTTATGCAGCTTGATTTTTATTAGCATTTAATTAATACAATGTAATAGCTTCCAAACAATTGAAAATAAATTTAGTTCCAAGCAATTAAAATTAATAAATTGTTCATTGTTTAACTTTTTATCTCAGTTACAAAAGGTGCAATTGAAACGTTTATTGTGAAACAGTGATAAGCTACATGAAGATATAATGATATACTACACTGAAAAGGGAAAATAAATTGACTAATCTTTTTACATATTTATTAATTTTTTTATTTTTGTCTTTGATACTAATTTAAGCTTAAAAATTGCTCCTAAAAAGGTACTATCTTTATAATTTTTAAAATTTATTTTAATGCTCCACTTGTTACATTATTGTTAAAATCAATTTCCAAATTGAAGCTTTAATCAAATATATAAACAGGGTATCCGCGCACCTGGAAAGTCATGAATTTCAGTATTGAACAGAATTTGCCATGAAATGTCATGATTTGAACTATTTTTTAAAAAAAATCATGGAAGTCATAGATTTAGGTCGCCAAAAAATTTTATTTTAAAAATGGATTCCCCCCCCCCAATTTCATGGTCTTCCGAATATCTGAATTTGTAACAAAATCCATACTCAGAGTCATTTTTTATTCATATAATATATACTCAGAGATTATTATAATATATACTCAGAGTCAAAAGTTTTTATCATGTTCTTATCATGTAAAAGTTATGGTGTTCTTTCAAAGAATGAAAGAAAAAACATCATTTCTAGAACGAAGTATCTTTTAAACTTCTGTGATTTCAGAATTATTATTATTTATTTATTTTTATTTTAGCAATTTAAAATTCTAGTCGAAGCAAGCCAGTCATTGGCAAATTTTTTTAATTCTGAAATGAACAGAAAAATCAGGAGTATTTCTTTCCTTTCTGATGAACAACAAAAGTATCTTCAGAATATAATTCTGCAGAAAAAAGAAGAAGATTATTTGCTCAGCTATTATTTTTTCAGCTATTTTACTGCTTCAACTCTTTCTTTACTCTGTTTTTAAATTTGAAATCAATAAATATGAAGATGCAGAAAATAACAGTTTTGGTTATACCTATCATTTTAATTTATGTTATTATAGTGCTTTTTAAATTTATTATTCTGTTTTTGTCAGAGAAAATAGTAACTTTGTTAAGTCATGAAAAGTCATGAATTTGAAAACTAAAATGTAGCAGATACCCTGTATAAATTTTTTTTAAAAAAAGAAAAAAAATGAATGGGAATGTTGTTTGGGTGAGAGTCAGAGCATAAATTTATGTTAAAACAATAATCTACTAAAAGGTGTAGAGAGAAATAACTTTATTGACTAGTTTACTTAAAAAAAAAAAAATTTTTTTTTTGTTGTGTGGATAGGT